ATGACATTTGGATTGAGACACCAGATTATCACAACTTAGCACATTCCAGAGTTAGTGATTTTGAGAATTTGTTACACTTCTAAGGGGATTCACATTAGACAACAAGTTTATGGTTAGAAACAATGAAGATATGAATTAATGTCTTAATACGAATGGAGATACGAATTAATGTCTTGATGTATAAAGGCTGGTTCACACAGTAGCGTTAAGTGCGACTGCAACCGTCTGCAACGTTTAAAACAAGATTGCCTCTGCGAGATGGCAGATCTACTCTTTCAAAATGCATGTAGACACAATCGCAGCTGCTTCCCACTGCATTTTAAAGGGATACGGAAAAAAATGCTAGCAGTCATTTTATTGTTTACATGTCCGCTAGGCAGTGGTATCACCTCTCAAAGACCTAAATTTTGTTAAAAAAAACACCAAAAGGAATTTTAAAAATAATGCAACAGTAACCAAACAGCACTTCGTGGATGCTTCAAAAAGTTCGTTGGAAGTCGTTGCATCACATGCTGCAACAGCAGCATGTGATGCAAGGACTTCCAACGAAGTCTGCGGAAGCGCGGCTTACCCATTTTAGGTGGCTTAGGCTTGAACGCGATTTTTTTTAAACTTTGGCAGAGAAAGTCGGCGTAGAGCTGGCCACGGCGAACCAACCTACTACCTCATGCCCATGCTTTTTCTTTGCTGCACACAACTTGAGAGATGGAACATATATAGACAAGGTCTCTGCACCGCTTCAGATCGTAGTTACACTGAGGTTGATCGTGGACTATGATTAGGCACGAGTGCCGCGTCAGTGTTTGGCTGGCACTCATGTTCAATCAGCATGTCGAAGATCGGACGAAGACGAAACAGAGGGATCGTAGACGTATGACTGCAGGCCAAATCTCCTCTCTGAAAACATGTCGGAGAGCAGGATCCTTGTCCTCGCTGACATCGTTTGCACCAAGTTAGTCGTTTTGGTACTCGTTCGATTGAGCCATGGTTATGGAATCGGCCCTGGCACAATCAAAATGGGAACAGCTGCCAGTATGCACGACTAGCGCATGATAACACTTTGCATATGTGTGGGGTTGTCTTTAATTCCAATTTATTCTACGTTGCGCACGTCCTCGAACTTCAGGCTTTTTTCAGCTCTCTGCACAAGCGAGTCCAACGTTCGTTAGGCCTATCACATCTTCAGAGAGGACTCCTTGCGCTGCATCGCACAGACTCGCTTGATTGAGCACACGGACGTCACGTCGCACACCAACACAAAACACGAGAACACCACACCACAAGAAGTGGTTCAGATCGCAGTGCACAACGCACACACACACTGTTCGACTGGTTGGCTCGGCCTTCGCTGCGATCCCGCATGGGCCGCTGGGTGACGGAGCCACGGAGCTCTCGCTGGGTTGCGATTTCTCTTGAGCTTTGGTTATCTCAAACGGCTGAGTTGCAACATGCTGACGCCTCCATGTGGCAAACGTGATTATCATGCCAGCCTCCATGTAGCTTTGCCCGTACTCGGAGCTATGACATCATGGATATCACTGAACATTCCAGCTTGCATTGCACCCTCCGACCGCCGCTCACCGAGTGCGAGCAAGATTGTGGCGTTTGGAACGGAAATTAGACCGACCCGCTCAAAATACCATCGTGCCATTGTCATCTACGTACACTAGTGATCGCATTTTGCCTGTTTCTGAACAAAATACCGTATAATTGCTCGTAAGGGCTGCTCCCGTGTAAGAGTCGTACCCCCGTATATAGGACAAAGTATTGCAAAAAAAATATTTACAGAACTTATTTGTGTATGGACCGCACCCCCTCGCTTTCGAGGCGCGCCAACTATGAACGTATATGGCTAAGTGGCGCTAGCCACCGCCTGAGCACATAGCGGCACGTGTCCGTATCCCCGATACTTGCTCTCCACTCATCCGTATCACCGTATGGCACAATGGCTGTCGACCTCGATCGTGGTCGGCCGCACTGTCGGGATGTGCTTATGTTGCGGCAAGGCATTGAGAAAAAATAAAGGATATGTCAGATTACGTGGCAAGCGTGAGGAATGGGAATTCAGTGGGCTGGGCTTGTGCGTGCACTCGGGTTTCCGAACGCCACTGTACGCTCTGGGTAGGCATTCTTTTGTTCTTCGATTCGTGTCTAAGTGTCGCGTTCTGTCTGCCTTTTCGCGCAATCTGAGAGCTATGGGCAAGTACCACTTCAACAGTCATTCGAGCGGAAAGTTGTCGCGCATGTTATTAATTACGGCAAAAAAGAAAAAAAGGTGTGCAGTATGTAAACTAATTAAGTCCGACTGACGATTGAGTCCGGACACCGGAGTGGAGGCGTTTCCGACCAGTGCAGCCGCTCATGTACGTTCATTTTGAAATGTAGATATAGATTATTTTTTTATCTGTGTATGGGCTGCATCTTGAAAATTTGCCCTCAAATCGGGAAAATAGTGCGGTCATTACACGAGTATACGGTAGCTAAACTTCAATTTTCGTTTCAGTACGCCTTTAAAACGGCAAATGCATTGGTAATGCTGCCATAGGCATGTTCTCGCAGACACCGCTATCTTAAGTGTCACACGCGATTGCAGTCGCCCTCTGTTGGACTCAACGCGATTAACTGTGTCAGCCAGCCTTAAGTCTTCATCTATAGTAAGTGGAAACCTCTTTTATATCGATGAAACTGTTGCAGCTATTGTGTCATTTGCTCAAAATGACTTTATATACCTACCATGCTCATACAAAAGTAAAAAAATAAGAGAAAATTGCTCAAAAATTTGTCCAGGTCCTACCAAAATTTCAAGTTCCTGCTGGTAACATAATGCCAGCTTAGAGGGTAGATTCTTGAAAGTATCGATTTTCCACTGGCTTCTATAGCTTGGTTGCATAGGGTTGGTAAAAATCTATAGTGCAGCGCGTCGTAATTTGTTCCTATGAAGTGGCAGGTTTTTTTGTTTGTGTAATGGAGGCACTTAAATCTAATTTTGCTTACAGGCACCTACCAAAGAGCAGAGAAAAAGCTTATCAAGTGGATACTCACATGTTCCATTGAGTCCTTGGAGATTTCCGGTGATCAGAGTTTAATTTTTTTATAGAAAGGTGGTGTGAAATATTGAACTGTATTCTAATGGGCATATATATTTTACTACCTAGACAATGCAGCACCGGTAGAAACGAGAGCAGAGGCGACTCATCCCCGTCTGCAGATACCAGTACTATGTAAGTAATAAATAAAAATATTTATTGTGCTATTTTACTGAAGGGCTCTTTACGATAATATTTGCCTTCACTGTTTTCAACCAAACGCATTTGAATGAAGGGGGTTCTAGACATTCGTGCCTCAAGGGTTCCTGTTGCCCCCCGCCCCCCTGTCCCCCCGTCCCCTCCCCTCGAAAGGGCACAAACTTTAACGCCCAAAATATCCCTCATCTTGGTTGCAAGGTGATGGCCATAGTCTGAAGCTTATTCATCAGTTTTGCTTGTGCCCTAGACCCGTAAACGCATCACATGCTTTAGCAGCCCAGCTGAGCTCTCTACGTGAACAATCTCACTGTCGAAATTGTTCCTGCTTTAAAGGACACATGCAAAGGAAAAAAAAACATTTTTTTTAAACAGCTTACAATGAAAAAGAATGTCATAAAATGATTTTACAACAAAGAAAAAAAAACTTTTTTATAGAGCTATATTTACGGCGCTATACGAGTTTGCAGTTGGCGCCCATCGGGAGCCGCCCCTGGTCACGTGGTAGGCCCGCGCCAGCCGTGCTGCGTCGGCGCCGCAAGGTGCGCGTTGTGCGAACGCCGCTTCAACGCGTTTCTCCACGCTGCCGTTGGCGCCGCAGCACAAGTTCGTCTGCTTCGGGGCGCCGCCACCGTCGTCTGACCGGCACACAGGTCTATCACGTCTGCTTGCGCTTTGTCAGGAGTTTCCTTTGGGCTCTAAAAGTTACCTATTAATATTAGTTCTTTGTTATACCTCAAAGATGAATAAGTTAACTTTAAGACGCCATACGAAGCTTCTGAAAGAGCGCAAGCACCACGTGATAAATAAAGGCCAGTCACGTGACATAGAAGGGCCACTTTTCCGCGGCGGCAGCGGTTGCCAACTACAAATTCGTATAGCGCCGTAAACATAGCTCTAAAAATTTTTTGCTTCGTTGTAATATTGTTTTACGACATACTTTTTTCATCTAAGCTCTTAAAAAAAAAGCTTTTTTCCTTTGCATATGTCCTTTAAGATGTGCTCTTCTCATTTAGCTCACTCTGAATCTTGGGGAGAAGCAACCGGAGATCGAGATATAGAGTTTACACCTTTTTCTTCTAAACAAGTGATGGGTCAACGAACTGTGACAAGTGCATGAGGTTTGCTGTGCTGTGTAGTTACTTTAACACAGACTAGAATGTTAAAAATGATAGACAGAAAAGAATACAACATACATGTGAAGGCACAGACAAACCTTTAGGTAGAAGGAAGGGAAAACAATAAGCAGTTGTTATTCCGCAACTTCACATGTACGTCATGTTCTTTTCTGTCTGTTTTTTAACCTTCAAGTCGACGTGCTTGTTATTGTGCAACTACGCAGTGCAGCATACCTCAGGACCTTGCTTTAGAGTGATTTCAACCCTTTCTTTTTTTTCGCACCAAAAAGCATGCCCACGAGGAAAGATGCTTGTTTTTATTTGTGGCTTTGCAGCATGGATACACTATATATATTTCACTTGTTCTCTTAGGTATGTTTCGGGCTAGGCATTATACAAATCCACAACCTCCATGATCTTCCAGTAATGGAAGCATAGGTAGTGCTTGTGCATTCACTAAACAACAGTAATCAGTAGTATTCTGACAGGAGTTTGGGGTGCCCAGCTAGGACTTCTTGCTGCTAATGTTTCTTGTTATTGAGCCCCACAGGCCCCATCAAGCTCCTGTTCAAGTGACGGTCCTAGTAATTCTGCTGCGGCATTGAAGCAGCAGTCACAGCGGGTTGAAGAGCATTCACAGATCCAGGCGAATGATGGAGCAACCCGTGAGTCTTCATTTATTCTTAAAAAGTTACGGCCTACATAGGTTGAAGGCTGAGTCAGTTCTGTCATCTAGGTAATGTAAGAGGGGCTGACTACAGGCACATATCCAGGGGAGAGGCCCGCCCCTCCCCCCTAAATTTTCCATTTTGCTGGGACCTCCTCTCCCCCCTCCCCCATACAGCATTTTGACATGGGCGGTCCACCCCCGAAACAAAATCCTGGCTATGTGCCTGGCTGACTCTACCATCTTCTTCCTTGCTCAGGCTTAATTTTGCCAGAAAATGCAAACATTAAGGCTGTGCTTCTTAGAAGATTGATGGAACCACCCTTTGCAAATCACCAAGCGGGTGGTGTTCAAACAAAACCGGGAGAAAAGCTCACCCAAATTATTGTGGATCTAGAGAAAAGCCTGCTTCGTTTTGATTCTACTTAGCAAAAAAGCTCTCCTGCAATCTAAGTTTCTGTTTAACAATGGGGAGTTTATTTTGTTGAGTTATGTTATCGGGAGCTCTAGTTGCCATTTACAAGCATGCTCCAAGGCCTGCACTTGGGGCGGTATCAGGATCAGGTCTCCAAAAACAAGCTACTAAACCCCCCCCCCCCCCCCCCCCCCGGATGCGGAGACTACGAACATCTCGCAGCTAATGCTAAAAAGCTGATCGCTATTGTATGATTCGGTAAACAGCCTATGAACCGCTGAAATTGCAATTTACTATGCTTAATTTATTTTCATCCTCCTTAATTCTGTTATTATATAAACATATTTCATTTTATATTTGTCACTGAACCCACGGCACCTCTAAATGTAAGTCCGTCTCTTCAAAAGATGCATAGAAAAACTGCATGCATGTAAAGGCTTTGAGACCTTTCAGTTAAAGGGGAAGACTGCTTCTTAAGTTTTTTTTCTTATTTACGGTCCAACCCAAATTAAATTTATAGAGCATAATCATCTTCCCATTCTGATGACAAATATGTACTTTGTTTCAAAATAGCTTGGTTAGTTTTGATAAAATTAACTATTGTATTTAAACATTTTATGGGCGAGGTTCCAAAAAATTATGATGACGAAACTCAAAAAGGAATATATCTCTCTAAACTAGAAGGTCTATAGAATCCAATAAGGTATAAATAAAGGCTCCATGATTATTTATAACGTTTTTACAGCATTTCAAAATTTTCACTTTATAAATTATTTTTTACAATATATTCGAGGTGCTAACAAAAAAATGCTGATGTCTAGGATGATGCAATTAGACCCCTTATTGGATACCCCACTTATACACCTAACAAAGAAAGAAAGAATTAGGAAGATCGGTTAAGTACAGGCCGAGATACGGCTTCCGCAAAATAGCAAACTGCGCAAAAAGTTCATTTCAAGAAAACAGCGAAAAACGTTCTCGTACATATTTCTACTGCACTTTCCAAAAATTCTTCATCTATCTACAAGGTAGAGGCTTATTAGCCACCAGGAGTTTTACTGCAAGTCCATAGTCGTGATCGCATTTTATGAGTTCGACATCGCCGCGACCATCTTCGCGAGTTGAAGGAGCGCGTTCACGACGTCGACGCTGACGACGATGGAACCCTCTGTACTCTAGGGAGCTTCTTGATCGGCGCTCGAGACGCCGGCTATCAGGGCAGCTTTCCGCGTCGTAGCGGACGTCGACGAAAGATCTTTGAGTTTTTCTTCTGCTTTTTTTTCTTTCTCGTCGATCTCGGAAGCGCTGAGCATCACAGTGTCGAGCCGCACTCGCTCGCTTGAAGTCACCGATGTCGACGGCGCCGTCGATGCGACATCTTCGTGTTCGAGCTCCCGCACCTCGTCGTCGACGTTCAAGCTCGCGGGAAGTTGAACTGCGCCCTGGATTAGCTTCCTCGGGCCTTTATTTTTCGTTTTTTTCCAAACTTGTGGGCCGTGTGATACTTTTTCCGTGAAGTTGTTGTGCTCGGCATGGTCGGAGGCGCGCACGAGAATCAAACAAGATGGCGGATCGGAAACAACGAGCAGACGCTGCGTGACCCTAACGGCCAATGAGAAAGCGTCATTTGCACACGTGATCCGAAACAGCCAACCGCGTGGCAAGACTTAGTTTTTTATTTGTGCTTCGTTCTCGGCGGCCAATCGCCGTCTAGCGTCGTGAATGGCGGGAGAAGAAAGAGCGGGAACGGAGCTTTCAAATGAGACCAAGATGTCTCCCTCCTATCGCGTTGTTCTCGAGCTAACGGCGGTCAAATTGTACCATTTATTTGCTTGTTTGGGAGGAAGCATTTCCGTTTATTTGTTGTTTGCGAGTTTTATGGCGCAAGAGCTACGATGACCATACTGCGCCAAACTAGGTAAACTAAAATTATTTAGAAACTATGTACCAAGAAAGTATTTCGGCTATAGTTTGTGTAAAATCGCTATATTTTCTAGAAAAGCTAAAATACGGTCAATTGATATTAGAGGCTGCTCTCCTAGGAACAGAGTAGGATGGAAAGGAATACAGTACTTGAAAAGCTCAGGAAAAAATAACTTGTGTTGTTGTAGAAGACCAGGGCAAAGGAAAACATATAGAACGGACAAGGTGTCTCCACAGTGGTCGCACACTGGTGGTTCCTAACCAACAAGTAGGTAACGATGGGTAAGGAAGGTGTGGCCGATCCTCAACCGGCACAGAAGAACCTCACGGAAACGGCTCCGGTTATAGGAGCTTTCCCAGGTACCGATGCTTGGCTTGATGATATGAAGTTTGTTGTTATCGGCCAAATCCCACTCAGACTGCCACAGTTTTAAAAGTGAAAGTCGTATGGGCCTTGTTAGGTCTTGGTATGGTATGCATGCGCGTGATGGTAAGAGGCTACGCGACGAGGCGGCCAGCCTATCTGCAGCCTCGTTGCCTGCAATTCCCACATGGCTCGGGATCCAACAAAACCTAATATCCTTCCCATCTCCGAGGCCCAGTTGAACTTTAGCACGTACAAGTTGAGTCAGCTTGTTCTTGGTTGAATTAAGTGAACATGCCGCAGTAACAACGCTCAGAGAGTCCACAAAAAGAACTGCTTTCATTACTTTGCTCTGGATAATATAGTCAAGTGCTGACAGCACGCCATATAGCTCGTCAGTAAAACAGCTAGCAACATTATTTAGCCGTGTCACATGTGTAAACGAATCAGAATGAACAGCAGAGCCTACATACGTTGAGGACTTGGATGCGTCGGTGTAAAATTGATGATAATTCTTGTACTTTTCTTGCAGCGCAAGAAATTCCTGTTGTAAAATGAGTGGAGAGACATTATGTTTATTAAATTTTGTGAAGTACCAATCACAAGCTATAGGTTTGATATCCCATGGGGCAATTTGACATGCACTTTCTATGAGGTAGACATTTTCACGAGGCAGGCCGAGAGAGAGACGAAGGTTCTCAAAACGAAGACTCAGGGGTCGAACAACAGTTGGCTTGTGGTCAAAGGTACGACAAAATCTCGACTATCGGATATAAGTGTGAGCTGAATGACGAGAATCTGATAAAACTTTGTGAACATAGAGTAGACTAAGGAGCTGCCGCCTTTTCTCGAGTGACATTTTATTAGAGTCAATATACAAGCTTGGGATAGGGGATGTTCGAAAAGCACCACTTGCTATACGTAACCCAAGATGGTGCACTGGATCAAGCATCTTCAATGCAGATGGTCGAGCAGATGCATACACAATTGCACCATAATCAAGACGTGATCGTACGAGAGAGGAATAGAGACGAAGCAGACACCTTTTATCGGAGCCCCAAGACTTGTATTCTGCATACACTTTTGCTTCAGTCACTTGAGGTGAGGTACAAAGATAAGTTTACGGTCGAAAATAACTCCTAGGAATTTATGCTCTGGTCTTACTGCAATGCTATTTCCATTTAAATTGAGAATCGGATCTAACCGAAGCCCACGCCGCAGAGAAAAGGGGACACAGATTGTTTTTTCTGACGAGAACTTAAAACCATTTTCATTTGCCCATTTAGTCATTTTATTTATGGTTAGCTGCAGCTGCCTTTCACAGCTAGACATATTACAAGATGCCACAGAAACCTGAATATCATCCACATACAGGGAGTACGACACGGAAGAAGGTATGACCTGACAGAGAGAATTAATTTTTACTGCGAACAGAGTTACACTCAGGACTCCGCCCTGAGGAACACCGTTTTCTTGAACATACGAATCAGATAATGTAGTGCCTAGCCGGACACGGAAAGTGCGTCCACACAGGAAGTTATTTATGCAATGAAGCAATCGGCCTTGTACTCCATACATAAATAGGTCACGCAGGATGCCATGTTTCCAAGTTGTATCATAAGCCATTTCCAAGTCAAAAAAGACAGAAACACAATGCTGCTTATTCACGAATGCCTCACGTACAACCGTCTCCAGCCGGGCTAAATGGTCGGTCGTGGAGCGTCCAGGTGGACAGCCGCACTGATTTATGTCCAAAATATTATGTTGTTCGAGGATATAAACAAGCCGTTTATTCACTAACCTTTCGAAAGTTTTCCTCAAGCAACTCGTCAGTGCTATTGGCCTGTAACTGGCAGGAAAGGAAGGGTCTTTTCCAGGCTTCAGTAGTGGAATAACCTCTGCCCGCTTCCATTCGGAAGAGAAATGTGAGTCTTTCCACAGACCATTGAAGTAAACGAGAAGGGCAGCGAGTGATTCCTTCGACAAGTGTCGGATCATCTTATAATGTATTCGGTCAGGACCAGGAGAGGAGTTTTTCCGGACTTTAAGTGCCATTTGGAGCTCGACCATCGTAAACGGTTGATTGTAGGGTGCAGATGCTCCTCCTGCCAAGCTGACTTTCGTTTTTTCTGCATCTGTCTTAAACTTCAAAAACGCTGAAGAGTAATGGGAGGAGTTGGAAATGGCTGCAAAATGTTCGCCCAACACATTAGCCTGGTCGTGCAACGAATCCACTGAAGGAAAAAGAGGAACTGTAAAGCAACGGTATTTGCCTTCGACCTTGTGAAGTCGTTCCCACGCTTCCTTCGCTGAGACATAGCTGCTGATAGAGGTCAGATAACCTTTCCAAGACTTCCTCTTAGCCTGTTTCCTGGTTGAACGAGCTTGAGCTCTATTTCTCTGAAACTCCAACAAATTCACAGATGTTGGATATCTCCGAAATATTCCCCATGCCTTATCCTGTTTTTTCTTAGTGGCGGAACATTCTTTACTCCACAATGGCTTACATTTTTTTGCAATGTTACATGAAGTCTGAGGGATGGAGCGAAAGGCAGCATTTATAATCTGATCTGTAATGTATGTGGTGGCTTCATCATGTGTTAATGGCAAGAACATGCAAGGTTTGAGCTCCGAGTTTAGGCTAAAAAGACCCCAGTCTGCCTTTTCCAGTTTCCAACGTGGACTGCGTTTCATGAGGCTTGGAATAGATACCTGACTCTCCAAAACGACTGGAAAGTGGTCGCTCCCAAAGGGGTTATTTAAAACTTTCCAAGTAAATGTAGAAAAAAGTGAGGGGGATGAGATTGAAAGGTCAATAGATGTAAATGAGTTATGAGCAACGCTAAAAAAGGTTGGATCTCTCTTATTCATAAGGCACAGCCCAGAAGATAATAAAAATCGCTGAATTACCCCACCACGCGAGTCCTGACGGGCGCTACCCCATAGGGCGTGGTGAGCATTAAAATTTCCTGACAGTAAAAATGGATGAGGGAGCTGTGTAACCAGCCGTTGAAGATCATGAAGATGCAGTGAAGTGTTAGGTGGAATATAAATAGAAAAGACAGTAATGAGGCGGTCCAAAAGAAGTCTTACAGCCACAGCTTCAAGAGTCGTGGCCAAAGGAACTTGAGAGCAGGCGACTCCATTCTGGACAACCACAGCTACTCCACCAGATGAATTAGATGTAGGGCGATCTTTTCTAAAAACTTGATGGCGGCGCAATATTGACTTATGATGATCATTGAGGTGTGTCTCTTGTAAAGAGAGAGCAATAGGACGTAAATTGTCCATAAAAAATTTACATCGTCAATATTACGTAAAAGACCGTGGCAGTTCCACTGCATAAAATGAAATTTATTCATGCCTCAAAAACAAAATAATAGAAAAAAAATTAAATTAAAACGTTAAAACGTTGTTGGCGTTGTAACACTAGAAGGGAATACATAAAAACTTACATATCTGCCGCTCATGGCAACAATAGACTGACATCATCACTTTGGTGGGATGACAGGTTTTTGTTCTTCTGTTTACCCTTAGGAGTCTGCCAGTCCATGTCGTCTTGGTCAGACGCATGAATGGAGACTTCCGTGTCCTCATCCATTGCCTCTACTTCTTGAGGCGAGGCCTTTGCTGCTGGTTTGGGCAGACTCGGAGGATGGGGTGCCATGCCCCGTCCACGACCAGCCCCAGTCAAATGGGCGGAGAAGGTGCTGGGCGTGGAATCGCCCAAGTGCACCCGTTCCTGCCCCTTAGGTGCTGCAGGAGCGGCACGAGAGCCATGCCGCTCCCTCGATGATGCTCTCTCCAGGGAGTGTGGGCGAGAGTGTCGACCCTTCTCCCTGGAAGGAGATCGCAGAGGAGGGACGGTTGCTGCAGCCGCCGGCCCATCCTGAGCTTGGGAAGCAGCCTGCGTACCCTCTACGTGAGAGGGCTGAGGCTGTTTTCCCGCAGGAGCGCGAGTGTTTGCGCTCTGGCTGGGAGGGCCAGCAGACCCACCAGCCGAGATTGCACGCCCTGGAAGCTGAATCTTCAGCTGGGGCGTGGGGGACTGCCGTGGCTTCCCATAGTCCAGAAAGGACGTCTGGGTTGCCACTGTAACCTTCAGTGGTGCAGGTCCCCGCTGCACCACCTGTGCATAGCCACCCTTGCGCAAAAACGCAAAGCGACGGCGCGCTTCCGGGTAGGAGAGGTTTTCTTTAACCTTTAAGGTAAGTATGTCTTTTTCGTCCTTCCATGTCTTGCAAGATCTAGAATACGCGGGGTGTGGGTCACTACAGTTTACACAATGGGCTTCATTAGAGCAAGAATCTGCAGAGTGGTCATTTTTTCTACACTTGGCACAAGTGGCCTTACCACGGCAGTTCTGAGAGCCGTGGCCAAACCGCTGGCAGTTGAAACATCTCCGAGGGTTTGGAACATAAGCCCGAACCCTGCAGTGCAGGTACCCAGTGCAGGTACCCAGCCTTCACCGCGTCAGGAAGTGAGGTGGATTGGAAAGTTAAAACTATGTGCTTGGTTTTACGTTCTTGGCCATCACGACGCAAAGAGATGCGCCTTGCAGCAATAACTCCTTGATCAGAAAGGCGCTCAACTATTTCGGTGTCACTCGTCTCAAGAAGGTCATCCTCGGAGATAACTCCTTGGATGGAGTTTAAGGTGCGGTGAGGTGTGACCGTTACTTCGTGATCAGCTACAGTCGTCAAGGCAAGGAGAGCAGCACTTTGCTCACTTGATTCAATTTCGACGAGTAGGTCACCTGATGGCATTTTCTTGGCTTTAAATTCCTTTCCGACAACACCTTCGAGTGTTTTTGCGACAAGGAATGGAGATAATTTCGACAGCTGTTTCTCACTTTCAGAGTGAAGAACCAAAAACTTCGGGAATCTGGTAGGTGTAGGTGGTGTCTTCTTTGTGGCTTGGACTTCGGTGCGGACCCTTTTCAGGGGCCGATCGAGGGAGGTTTTAGCGCGAGAACCCATAACATGGGGAGGAATGTTCGGTGCCCGGGTGCACCGCCCACCACGGAGCCCAACGAGGGGGTAGGTAATGTGCCATAGCAAGAAAGGCTTGGCTGACACAATTACTCTACCAGTGCTGCCCAGGCACTATAACCGAGTGTGGATGCAGGGACAGGACCTGTTTCCACTCAAGGTTAGCCCTTGCCGCCTAAGAAGGTGAAAAAGGAAGGAAGAGAGTGCAGAAGAAAAGAGAAAGAGGTGGAAGGAAAAGTGAAAGAAGGAAGAAGAGGGTAGAAGAGGCGACTGACTGAATCATCCTGGTCGGGCCAAGCCAGGACACCCGTCTACGAGAAGTAGGGGTCGAAGCGGTGTATTGCCTCGCCCAGGGGGCCCCGAAGGGTCCAAACATACCCCGGGCTCAGCTCAACCACCAGGGTCCCCTTTTCCCCGGACACGGGTACGCCACGCACAGCCAGACGTGGGTGGGCGAACCCACATGGCTCGGGGTTCGTAGTGACGCCACTCACCAAGCACCTACTAAAGCAGGTGCCCCCTGCGTGCGGGTATGGTGGCCCACGCGGCTGGGGTCCGTGGTGACGCTACTCACCAAGCACCTAGCACCTAAGGTGCAGGCGCCCCCTGCGGAGCTCGGGGTCCGTGGAGACGCCACTCTCCAAACACCTGCTTTCACAGGTGCCCCCTGCGGGGGCATTTCCGTTTAGATACTTCAATTCAATGCCCCAAAATAAATAGGGCATATTTTGCGATAATACTTAGAGAAAAGATGCGAAAATACCTGTAGATGTTAAAAACATAATTTCAAGATGTGATTTTTTTTCTTCATTTTTCTTTGTTTCAAGGAGCCGTGTCCCCCCTTAAATCAATGCTTGATTTCAGCTGTTTGGACCACCTGACCATTGTCCACTGCGCTGCCCCGAAGCTCCCTTGTGATGTGCTTTATACGAAAATTACAGCAGCCCATTTTTTTCGTATTAGCTGCTGCATTGTCGCACCATGCTTGGCAGGGCTTTACTTTTTATATTTCCGTGGGCAAAGGGCACTGAGCGCTGGCATCTCCCAAGGAAATATTTGCTTGTGTTTCAGGTGCCCAGCTGCGGATCATCCACCTGCTAGTGGAACTCCGCCACCAGAACCGTGAGATGCAGCACGAGACTATGCAGCTGAGGCTGGATGTCCAGCAGCTGTCGGACCAAATAGCAGCTCTAGAGGTGCCAACGGGGCAAGCTGCACCGATCCCGACGGTTGCGATTCTTTCACGGGAACTTCCGAGGCTGCCAGCCAGCACCCTGGAGGAGCTGGAAGCAGCGGAGGCAGCCATTCACGACGAGGCTGTAGCCACAGTCTTGGTAATAGCAACCTCTTGATTCTCTCTATCCCTATCTTGTATTGCTATGCGCTGTTACACACTACCCTTGATTTTTAAATTGTACACCTACTGTACAATACTGAGGAAGCGCCCACCCCTCTTCTGCTGAAGAAATGGTTTAAGGGCAACTCCGCTCAATTCCCAAAAATTTGGGCTTACATGTGATTGCATTTCACAACGCACTACTAAACAGCTCTACGTCTTTGGATTCGCGAAATGTGAAATAATATTTGTTTAATCTTAATTTAAACATCAGCTGAAACCGAAACTTCGGTTGCGTCAGGCAACATTGGCCGCGGGTCGTCAGAGTCATGGCCACGTCACGTCGAACCACGTGGTCTTGTGCCGTTCGTGGGGGCGAGGAACAGGACACGCGACGTGGACAGCTCGCTTAGGATGGCGTGGACGGTGACGGCCCGGGGGAGAGGGAGAAGGGGAGAAGACGAAAGCGGAGAAGGGGAGCGGAGAAACAGACCGATAAGCGCGCCGGGCAGCGCAAACTAGCGCATCCCCGTTACGGTGATCACGTGGACGCCGTCGAGCCAACACCGGGAGGAGAAACTCATGACGTCATCGTTCAATTTCGCTCCGAGAAGTAAAAACAAACAAAACGTGAGAATGACGTAGACATGCCTCTGACGTAGTGGCTCATCGTAGTCCGCTCCAACTCCGTCGCATTGGCTGCGCTGACGATTGCGCCTCACGTCGCACGCTAGAGTTCGCAGATTTTGGCGACTTGGCTCATTTGAATGTTCGCTGGCCAGTTTATTAAATATACACGACGGAATTAGATCGTAATATTTGACATGGGGTCTTCCTATATGATACCGAAGAGGGCTGCATAGTTTTCTAAATATCAAAAATGAAGCGGAGTTGCCTCTTAAACTTGGTATGGCCGCTTTATCGGTCCAAGCGGTTAAAACCAAGATGTCAGCTACTGAGGCGCAGTGAATGGGGAAAGAAAGTATTTTTTTTTTAAATGACAAATGATTAGTGGACAGTACTCTAGCATATTTACAGTACTAGTCTCTACCATATTTACTTGCATACTCAATGCACTCGCATAATTAATGCACCCCCCACTTGAGCTTCAAAAACGTTGTTTTTCTCCTGTACGCATTTAACACATCCACAATACACGAAGGAAGCAACAGGATGCCACAGTGGTGCATGCCGCGTGCAGCAACAAAGCCGTCATATAAAAAAAAAGCCGGACAGCAGCCCAGAATTGCCAGGCCCCCTCAAAAATGCAAGTGGAGGATGTGCTGACAAGAAGGAAAGCATGCGCAAATCTCGTTGATTGGGAAGACAGGATGTCACGGGAACTATGGAAGCACACGCATCGACAGCTTCGATCCTGTGCTTGTAATCGCCGAGAGCAACTGAGTGTGTTCCGGATTTCGACATTCAGCCTGGTTTTCGATGATGTGCTTTGCACAACTAACATGTTCCGGATTGGAGATTCTGCACGGTTTTCATTAGCGCTGCAGTGGCTACAGTCAAAGTTGTATCTACTGTAAAATACCGAGTAAGCCCCCATTTCCTAACAAGTGCCCACTGCTAACATTGCAATTTTCCCAAGGGCCGTGACCCGCGCGCGGGGAATTGTGGGAGAGGCTGTCCCTCGCCTGGCCGCTCTGCCTTGAGATCTCATTACCTTGTCGCTTGTATCCTCTTAATCCTCTGTTTTTCGATTCCATTACCTATTTTTATCTATTCCAGTGTAATTTTTATTGCTTTTAAGTGTTTTTATTCTCTTCTGCGCATGATACTTGTATATATATAGTATTCCTGTCTTTATTTTGCCTTTTTCGACGGGAGTTCCGACGAACAACACGCCGCTTCCCACGTCGTCCCCGGGTGAGTTCTACCGTTGCTATACCGATTTCTATCGTGCTGTTAGCTGTTCATTTTGGGTCATTTGACCCGCGTGCGTGCGGTCGAGAGGAGCTGTTTGTGAACACCCGCGGACATCTCGTAGGGGTAGGCAGAGCTCTGCATCAACATCCTGGGACACGGCCCGAACAACAGACGCGGGCGATGAAGAAACACTCTGGACAAGCGCTGACTATCAACTGAAATATTTTAATAGGAAAACTCATAAAAACGACCATTCATCTTTTGCAGTTCACCCACCCGTCTGCGTATTACGAGACACTTTCGACTCTAACGTCGCGATTGTTGATTCAGAGTTCTGTCTACCCCTATGACATGTACCCGGGTTAAATGAACCAAAATGAACAGTTAACAGCGCGATAGGAATCTGTAGCAACGGTAGTACACACCCGAGTAACGACACGCGAGCCGCATGTTGTCCGTTGGCACTCCCGTCGAAAAAGGCAACAAAGACACAAATACTGTATATATGACAGTAATATTGCGTGCAGAAGAGAATAGAAACACAAGCAATAAAAAATACGCTGCAATAGATAAAAATAGGTAATGGAATCGAAAAACACAGGATTAAGAGGAGACAAGGCAATGCCATCTCAAGGCACAGTGGCCAAGAGAGGGACAACCTCTCCCCACAATTCCTCGCGCCCGGACCTGGGCGCTTGGGAAAATTGCAAATCGTCTATTTGGAACTTGTGTTTTAAGACACATACTTCGTTTGCTTTCCGAAGCCAGGAACATGTGCGTGCTGGCCTTTGGAAATTCCGTGCTGGGGTATGGATTTGAAGACATGCAAAGGTGTATGATTCATGTACTAATTTTAGCTTCTGTTATCATTTTTCATGTTTTGCAGAAGGAGCAGCTTCTCAGAATTGGAGGGAGAACACTGCTGGAAACGACAGCAAACATCATGAAAGGTTTAATGGGCCACTCTGTCCAAGTGCTATTTTCACTGTACGGGCTGAAAGGGAAGAGGCCATTTAACAGCATGCAGCTGTTCAGAGTTGCAATTGGAAATATATTTTGAAATTTTGATCTGCAAACTAAATTCATCATTTACTGCTAGTGGCAGGCAGTGTGCTTTGCTATAGTCATTACAGCTTAAGTATTCGATGACATAGTGGACTCGAAGCATTATGCACCTGTTTTGAGTGTCTCAATCTTGTGTCAAAAAAATAGTTCGCTATGGCACGGACCCTTTTTTTTCCAGGATAAGGGCTTAGTTCGAAGACTATCTTCCTCCCGGATGGGCATGCAGCAAGGCAACCCTACCACATGGCTCCCAACGTGGGGCCCGAACCCACGACCCCGAGATTAAGAGTCTCGTGCTCTACCGACTGGGCTAGCCGGGCGTTTGCGCGGCCAAGAAGTTCTCTGGGTGGTCGTAGCGGCCTCTGGTGGTGGTGGCCGGCCCTCGCTCCCACAAGTCTTACTGCTATTTACAACTTGGTCACTGGGCCAGCAATATTAATGTAATGGCACCACAAATAACCATATATCTCAATGTCAGTGAGCTGTTTTGAAGCGCAAACAGGACCCATTTCTTGACAACTCGTTCTGCATGTGGAAGAACATTGCTTTGAAAACATGATTTAAGTAAGTAAATAACTTCAGACAGCAGTGAAAAAAGCAAAATCCAGTCGGGTGGCCTCGAAGTTTATTTGAGCCTACCACGCAGCGTACCACTCCAGTGGTGATAACCACAGTATTTTCACATTGTCCCACTTATGCCGCCACAATTTTTAGACAACTTGAATCGGGGTCTAGTTGACAAGGAAGAGGAGCATATGTCGTCCTGCATATACCTCCAGGCGACTACTAAGCCTAGCGTGGACTTTGAATAATTCAGTGGCAATGCTACTGCTCCAATCTTGCAGCACTGCAAAAAACTATCCAGAAGAGAAGGGTATACCATGTGGGAAAGTTGCCTTGCTGCGTGCCCAACCCGGCGGAACAACACGGAGCCAGGATTTCGGAAAACGTGAAGCTACATTTATTAGTAAATTGTAAACATGAAGTTAGTATTAACAAGGTCGTTGGTCGACACCGCCGCAGCGTGTACCTTTCGCTCCAGGCCCCGCTTCTCTCCCCTCCGGTCGGCATCCCCGCTGCTGCTTTTATGCGTTCTTTCACAGGGGGTAACGCCCCCCGCGCTCTTTACACACTGTGGCGCCCCTATAGCGTCCACACAATCCCCCCCTCAAAAGTCAGGCATGTCGATGACGTGCTCGTCCTGGTCGTTTGACCTCAGAAGTTGAGGACGTTGCCTTCGTACGACGTCGATGGCCCTCTGCAGCTCGTCGTGGTTCTGGAGCCTCGCAGCGCGGTCGGCAGCTTCCCGGGTTACGTGTAGGAGCCCCGCTCGGTGTGTTTCTCGAGCGAGCTCCGGGACTCCGCACAGCGGACAGAGGAGCCTCCGTTCCTCTGCGGTGTATTGCGCCGCTAGATCGTTGGGGTGGCGGTCCTCCAATGTCAGTCCCCTGAAAGGCTCGGGGACGATGACGTGCGCCTCCCCGCGTTCTGGGCGTGGTTGTTCTTCCCAGGCTTGCCGGGATGCCCAGCCGACCGGTCCACCGTCGGTCTGCACCATCCATGTTGTCACGGTGGCTTGTGGCCGTCGCCGGCTGCGGCGGCAGAGGATGTGGAAGTCCGCGTTGCCCTGATCTCGTCGTGATGGCCCCGGCCCCTGTCCTTGTGGCCTGGGTGACCATGGTCGCCACCTCGAATGGGTCCCCCGGCCCTGGTGGCCGTTGTGGCTGATATGGCTGCGACGGCCGCGGTGATGAGATCGCCACCCTCTCTCCATCTTCATAAAAATAAGAAACAGCCCGATGAGCGCAACATTAGGCGTGCCGCGCGTGGCCCCTGAAAATAAAAGTCAATAAGTGCTCTCAGGAGGGATATACTACCCCCCCCCCCCCTCTCAAAAGAGAACATATTGATGGGGTATGAACCGGAGAACGTTCAAAATTTTAAGGGTGAAGAACAAATGTTTTTGTTAGTCGCTTCGTGATCTCCCTGTTAGCTGTCACCGACGTCGCAGATTGTACCGCCGGGGTGGCGGGGAGGGGGAATCAGGGACCCGACTGCTGCTGCCATCTGCTGGATCCTGCGAGAAATCTTCTTGGCTGTGGAAACGTTTTAGGTCGGTGACATGAATTGGTCCTGTGGACTGACCACTGGAGCAGCAAATAAGTATGTATGTGAGCGGGGACAGCTTTTTGCCAACACGGAATGGACCCTCCCACCTGTTTGCCAGTGAGGCCGTGAATCCCCTTGTTGCATCACTCAGGGGATGAGTGCGCCTGAGCACGAGGTCTCCCACCTCAAACTGCAGGTTTCGGCGTCCCTGGTTGTACTGCTCGGACTGCTGCGGTCTGGCGACGTCGAGGCTCTCCCGAGCTTCTCTGAGGTTGTCCGAGAAGCGCTTGCGGAGGTCGTCTGCAAACTTCGAGTAGCTGCGGTATTGCGACGTGGGTTCTGTTGAGCGAAGAGCGTTCGAAAGCGGGAAGGCAAGTTCTTTGCCAAAATTTAGCTGGGCAGGGCTGAGACCGGTCGACCGGTTAACCGTGGTGTGAGTGGCGAAGGCCATTTCTGGGAGCTTCGCGTCCCAGTCCTTGTGGCGATCGGTATGCGCAACGAGCATCATCTTAAGGTTCCGGTTCACCCTTTCAGTGATGTTTGCTTGTGGGTGATACGGTGATGTACGTTTAAGCTCAATTCCCAGCACCGCACACGCATCCACGAACACAACGGCGACCGATGAAATGATTATGCCAATAACTTCAGGATATGGGAGGACTTAGCACCAGCCCAGTGTGACTTTATTCGTCAAGTGCCACCTGGATACTCTCGGGCTGAGTGTTAATGTTCATGCTATACTTGACGACAGCTTCGTGCGCCAGCAGGCCGGCCATTTGCCTTTGAGGGCCCTGCGGCACCTGCCGAAGCGCATTGGCAATCATGACACCGAGGTCGTCACATTTGTCCCTTTGCTTGGTTGCCCCGACGGCCTTACTCAATGCCTTTGTTGCTGACTCAAGAAGCCGTCTCTTTTCAGCGGCACAGTCATCTGGCTGCTTCCTTTTTGCAGTCACACTTGGGCGTCCACTGGAACTCCTGGCACCGCTTGTGCTAGCTCCGTCGCTTGAGCCTCTATGGCGGCTGCTAGGGGCATTGCCTGGGCTGGGCGCTTGGCTGCAGCTGCTGAGCTCATTCTCCAAATCGAGGCTTGAGGGTTCTACAGGATCGCTCCCTTCCAAGTGCCCCCAAGGGCTGTTGGCAGCTCCCTCTTGAGAGCTTGGGCTGTCCCGCGAGCATGGTTCAGCCTGCAAGTGTAAAAGTGCTTGCATAGATGACATAATTTTCTCTTTTTGCAACAAATAAAAACACACAGCATATAGTGTTTGTTGGCTTCTAATTTTTTTTCCCATGAAACTATTTATACGAGAAATCAGAATGGGTCTCGGGGGGCATAAACCGATAATTCGTCCTTGTTGAAAAAAGTCATCGGCCTTATGGCATTATGCTATTTTTGATGTCCGTCGATTATGATTGGATTATGATGAAGTGTAATACTCATCACTGCTAAAGATTGCACTTTTTACATTGCTTACTCACAGATATTAGCAAGAAACCTCTGCTGTGCCAGAGATGAACGACGTGATAATTAAGCACCTGACAATTATCACGGTGCGTGGATGTTTTGTTTACGTATCTATGCAATTTAAAAATGCTTCGTCTAGGGCATTGCAAGTAAAACAATAAAGTGTGCCTACCACCTCGCTGTACTTCTCATGAAACCGAGGTGTCCAGTCTGTTGGCACCTTCCAACAGATTCTCCACACCTACCATCCGTGATTTCATATTTGCTTGTCGAATCTTCAGCTTTGGGCAATTGAAAGGTCATTTTGTGGCTGTGCGAACGTGTACTTTTGGCATGCAAAGGTAATTGGGACTACCAATCATTCAGTTATGGAGTGAGAAAAATGGGTGACTGTGGTTACAGCTACCTTTTGTCACTTACATTTGGGGGGACCATGTTTGACTGGCTGTCATGTTGGGCGCACGCACTCTGTAGGAACAGGAGGTCTACATAGTGGCCCCATCTGGGCACGTACAGGTCGTCAAGACTTGTTCCAGACTTGCAGCTGCCCTTTACCTTCCGAATCTCCCGCTGAAATTGCGAGCGCAGATTCGATAACCTGGCTTTCACCGCTGCCCCTGCATGAACTACAAACACTTATAAGTTACAAAAACATATGCAGGGCATTCGGGCACACAAGCATGTTATCTGTGGCGAGTACATTGTCTTTCTGTACTCGACGCTATCGCATGTTAGTAAGCTTTACATGACGTACAATTTAGGAGAAAACAAAAATTTGCTTTACGAACGACAATGTAGAAGGTGAGACTGTCGTTCTCACACCTACCTGTACACGCAAAAGTTTGTATGTGCATTTCTCGAAGCTAACAAGCGGGAGCTACGTAGGCCGCGCGAATTGGGTACAAATACGCATGTGCTAAAGCAGCTGAATATGTGTAGCTTAAAATGAGCTGATGTAAGCTAAGCTAAGGTTTGTAGAACACAGGTCTGCTGAGTTTACGCGAAAATGACAGCGCGAATTCAACACCCCGGGTCCGTCGTTTTATGCATACCTGTAAAATCGGGTCCCAGCACACTCGTGACGTCTTCATAGGCCTTGTCCTACAGGTCTCGCCGGTGGTAGCGCGCGTCCTTCGCATCCCACATGTAGCGGCGTTCAATCATTTCAGTCTCGTCCGATCATTTCAGTCTCGGCGGCTTGCGAGAACGACATGGGGTGGTCGACGGCATCGTCAGGAACGTCGAAAGACTGCGCTACTTCGCTCGACAAAGCAAAATAAAGAAGCATGGGCTAATGCGATATCGATTGGTCTTCAGTTTGAAAGTTTACAACCCGCATAATTAAATATTATGAAGATATCGCACGTTTCAGTCGTGAAAAAGCACATATGATGTTGTGTTTCCGGCGCAAAAATTCGCTC